TTCACTTGAAAAAAAACGTAGGAATATACTTAACCAAACATCTTTCCCTTCTTTCCAATTCAACAACTCGTATTATTCAATTTTTCCATTATTCCACTCATTTCCACACATTTCCAAACACCATAACGACGACAAAACGACAATAAAATTCTCTCTCCATCCCTTCCCCTCCCCTCCCCTCCCCTCCACTTAGAAACAAACAAACAAAAGAAATCCAAAGATCCACGAAGACGAATCCCTCCCTCCCCTCCCCTCCCCTCCTCCCTCCCCTCTAAGCAGATCAAAAAAACAGAGCAACGGAGAAAAAGCACGGATATCCAACGCTTTGCTTTCGAAAGTGCTTTCGATTCCCCGCTTCGTTTTCCGCTTTTTTTATTCCCCTCCCTCCTCCTCCCCCCCCCTCCCCCACAGAACGACGTTTCCATCGTTGAGAAAAAGTTAATAGCGTGGAGAAATTAGCCGACGACAGAGAGAGAGAGAGAGAGGGAGGGAGGGAGGGGGAGATGGTACGAGAGAAGTGGAGTGGAGTGGAGTGGAGTGGAGTGGTTGCGGGGTGTCACAGGAAGGAGGGGAAGGGAGGGCGATGGTCGATCGGCGAGGGGTCGGTCGCGTATCCGAGGGGTGTTCTGCACAGATGCAACGATAGCAACAGTTCGGTCGGGGCTGGTTCGGATCGGGCGGGAGGGGGAGGGGAGGAGGCCGCATATGAGCTGCTCTCGTGCGCGCGGGGCCAGGCCAGGCCATGCCATGCTATGCCAGGCCAGGCCAGGCAAGGCAAGGCAAGGCAAGGCAAGGGAAGGCAAGGCCAGGCGCACGCGGCGGTATCGGGGGTTTGACTCACACGCATCACGCGTAGTCATCCATCATTGTCAGTCTCTTCACTGACACAGCCGCTCGTCCGGTATCCACGAACCTTCTATGCGGCATACGGGACTCTACTCGATTCGAGGTCCTCTCTCTTTCTCTGTCTGCCTTGGTGCTCTTTCCGTAGCGATCGACCGAGCTCGGTTTTCGAGCTCTGATTTCCCGCGAAACCGAACCTTGCCTCGTCGTGCGTGGGACGGATCGATCCTTCGGTTTTGGGGTTTGGGATTTTTTCCTCTCTTCCTTTTTTCCCTTTTTGGTAAATTTTTTGGGGAATTTTTTTGCGCATTTCCTTCGATTTTAGGTGGAGTGAAATTAGGGGAAGGGTGGAGGGAAGGGGATGGATAATGAATTTGAAGGGGATTGGTAAGAATTGTTCGCCGTTTCATCGAGTTCAAATTGTAGGAAATTGTTGGAATGTATTTGTCGAGAGCGGGAGGATAGTTTGGTTGATTAATTGAGTTGTAAGATTTGGAATTTTTGGAAAAAAGGTATCGTATTATGTCTAACAAATTTGGAAAAAAAAAAAAGATAAGAAAGGAGAGCGAGATTTATCTAAAAATAAAGCAAAAGTTTCAGTTTTATTTTGTAATTTTTCAACGTTTTGAAAATATTCAAATCCTCGAATTGAAGATTATCAAGTAATAACTCATATAACGTTTATGAAATGATCACAAAATTGTTGAAATACAATCTTTTTACCACAATCGTTCGATATCCACGAAATGCTCAAATTCCAAATCAAACTTAATTTTCAAATGATTATATTTCAGTTACTATCGATGATCACAAAATTTATTTCCATCTTATCACAATCGTTCGATAGTCACAAATTCCAAATCAAACTTACCAAATAATAATTTCCAGTTGACTACCATTACCATTAATGATCACAAAATTTATTTCCATCTTATCTTTTCACAATCGTTCAAATTCCAAATTAAACTTACCAAATAATAATTTTCACACGATTATAATTCAATTATTTTGTGATCGATAATCACAAAATTTATTTCCACCCTCTGCAATCGTTCGATATTCACAAAATGTTCAAATCGAACTTTCCAAATAATAATTTTCAAATTATAGTTCAATTATTTTGTGATCGTTAATCACAAAATTTATTTTCCACCCTCCACAATCGTTCGATATTCACAAAATGTTCAAATCGAACTTTCCAAATAATAATTTTCAAATATAGTTCAATTATTTTGTGATCGATAATCACAAAATTTATTTCCACCTTCCACAATCGTTCGAAATAATAATTTTTAAACTGTAATTCAATTATTTTGTGATCCATAATTACAAAATTTATTTTCCACCCTCCACAATCGTTCGATATTCACAAAATATTCAAATCGAACTTTCCAAGTAATAATTTTCAAAATATTCAAATGGAACTTACTAAATAATAATTTTCAAATATAGTTCAATTATTTTGTGATCGTTAATCACAAAATTTATTTCCACCCTTCACAATTGTTCGAAATAATAATTTTCAAACTATAATTCAATTATTTTATGATCAATAATCAAAAAATTTATTTCCATCTTCCACAATCGTTCGAAATAATAATTTTCAAATATAGTTCAATTATTTTGTGATCGATAATCACAAAATTTATTTCCACCCTCCATAATCATTCGATATTCACAAAATGTTCAAGTCGAACTTACCAAATAATAATTTTCAAATATAGTTCAATTATTTTGTGATCGTTAATCACAAAATTTATTTCCATCTTCCACAATCGTTCGATATTCACAAAATGTTCAAATCGAATTTTCCAAGTAATAATTTTCAAAATAATTTTCAAAATATTCAAATGGAACTTTCCAAATAATAATTTTTCAAACTACAGTTCAATTATTTTGTGATCCATAATTACAAAATTTATTTCCACAATCGTTCGAAATAATAATTTTCAAACTACAGTTCAATTATTTTGTGATCGATAATCACATGTAAAATTTATTTCCAATTTCCTTACTTTCGCGAAATGCTCAAATTGCCGAAATCAAACTTACCGAATAATGATAATAAGAGGAGCGATAGGGATAGATTACGACGAAGGGCGACGAAGTAGAATGGCCCGGAGGAGGAGAGTGAAATCCGTGTGAATTTGGAGGATCCCCCCTCCTGGCTGAGAAGAAGGCCGAAGAAGTACGCGTATACGTATTCGGCGTTTCCCGTGAGCGTTCTCCGGTGTCGGCGAAGGAAGCGACGATGATGGATGACTCGAAATATCAGAGCAATCGAACTGAAATATTATTTTTAGCGCGGCCCTCTCGAGCGGCGGCGTGCTCGATCCATATTTTACCGTGGCGATGCGCCGCATTTATCACCCTATTAAAATTGATTCGCGCGCGCAAATTGCGCCCTGTCTTCCGAGATCCTCTTCTTCCCATGAATGGCCCCCCGCGTAAGCGGACGAAAGAAGAGAGATTTCGTGCAAGACGTGGATTCTGTGGATCCGTTTTAAGGAAAAACGTTTTTGTGAACGATAATAAAATTGGGGACGAAGACATTTTTTAATATATTATCGTGAACCTGGTGCAAGTAGTAGGGAGGGATTTTTTCCCTCCCCTCCTTTGTTTCGATAAATAGTATTTTTTTTTTAATTTTTCAAGATTTTTCACAAATTAATGATAATTCCAACAATGATATATATATATATATATACATATACGTGAGAAGTTGGTTCCAAGAATCCAATCCAAGATGGTGGAAAACGAAAGAAAGGAAAAGGAGGGAGGGAGGGAGGGGGGGAGGGGAGGGGAGGGGAAATAAATCGATCCCTTTTTTTTTTTTTTAATTTTACAATGATATCTTTTATTATCATCCATTTCCATGTCTATCCTTATGATCGGTCTTACTGCGCTTAATCCGTGGATTAAAAGGGTGGTCGAAACGAAAAACGGAATAAGACGAAACTTAAAAATTCTGAAATCGAAACAAATTCATCAATCGATACGAATGTACACTCGATCGCCTTCTTCCGTTTCCTATTAACTCCTATCCTTTTTTTTTTTTTTTTAATCATTTTTTTCCCACCGTTTTTGCGTAACTTATTAATCATTACATTCAGAGTTCGAATAAACGTGTGTTTACGTATGCGTGTGTATGTGTGTGATCCTCAAATACGTCTATACGTATGCGCAAGTACGCGATGATGTGTGTATGTACGATTATCGCAAGCTATGTACAAATAAGTCCTCGTGTGTGTATATATGTATGTATGTATGTATGTGTGTGCGTGTGTGTGTGTGTAAATCGCGGTTCCCTAAATGCCTTTTTTTTTTTTTTCTTTTTTAATTATTTCATACAAACCAGATACGGTGTAGTACTGGTACGTATTGTTAAATATATTCTCTCGTCGAGTCGAGTCGAGTCGAAGGTGAAAATCAACGTTTCCTTTTTTTTTTTTCTTTTTCTTTTTCTTTTTCTTTTTTTTTCCCCCCCCTCATCACGCTAACTAACTATTAATCCTCGTTAACGTTAATTCTTTCAAACTCGCCTCCTCTATTTGGTTCGCTTAATTAATCGTTTGTAGAAGTTCTAGTTAGTCGAAATTAGTGGAAGGGGAAGGGTTGGAAGGTGATAGAAATGCACGAAAATTTCAACGACTTCTTCTCGAAGACGTTTTCGAGATGATCTTTTGGTCATTTTTTCCTTTTTCAACCTCGCAACCTCGCTTTCTCGACTCGTCTCTTCTCCTCCCCCTCCCCCGTTAAGGTTAAATTAATCCTCGTATGTACACGCGTCGCTTTTAACATTTCCTCTAAGAATTATTGCTCGTCAATCGACCACTTCTCGAAAAATCGTGGTGTTTTCCTTTCGTGGAATTCGCAACAACGACAACGATATGGAATCGAATTCTCCAAAATCTCCCCTCTCTCTTTCCTCCTACTCCACTTCGAACATTGCACTCCTCCCCCCCCCCCCCTCCCTCCCTCCCCTCCCCTCTAAATCAATTCAATTGACGGACGGAGACGATGTGTCGACATTGTGACACATTGTGAAACGAGAACGATTATCATTATCAGCACCACCACCACCACCATTCTCCTTTCCCCTGGATGAATTAACGAGTAAACGAGTAATCGAAGATTAGAGGCGAGGAGACAGAAACACCAGCCCCTTGCCCATCAGTACAACGCGTTGAGCAGGCACTGCTCGTCGCTCCAATCCAGCGTTTGCTGCTGCCCCCCCTCCTGTCCCTCCGACTCTCGGGCTCAGCTGAGCTGATAATACTCGGGCGCGAAGTCGTTGGCGAGGTTGGTGAGGAAGTTGAAGTCGGACGAGCTGTTGCTGTTGTCGGCCGAGGGCGGGGGTGGGGCGGCAGCGGCCGCGTGGTGGTGGACCGGCTCCGCGTAGAAGTTGCCGTACGAACTGCTGCTGCTGTTGTTGTTGTTACTGTTGTTGTTATTATTATTATTATTATTGTTGTTGTTGTACGAGTCGCCAGTGTCGGCCTGCGCGCCGCCAGGTGGCGTTATGACGGCTGCGGTGGCAGCCGCGATCGCGGTGGCCGTGGTCGCCATCCCAGGGGCGGTGGAGGGGAAGGGGTCGGGCGAGGAGACGTAGCTGTTGGGTATGTTGGACGCCTCCCCGCCCTGGTGGACGTGGTGTTGGAGCTGGCCGGCCTGCTCGTAGTAGTGACACTTGCCGCTCCTCCCGTACTCGGCCGAGCTAGGGTGGTGCATGGGGCCCGCGTAGCCGGCTGCCGCCTCCGGCGTCCCGGTCCCCGCGTTGGCGTGGTGGTGGTGGTGGTGGTGGTGGAGGTCGTTGTAGTAATGCTGGTGGTGGACCAGTGCGGCGTCCGAGGTGGAGGGATGATGGTGGTAGGCGGTCGCGTTGTTGTGGTAGCCGCCGTAGCCGGCCCCCATGTAGGCCTGATCCTGAGGCTGATGATGATGGTCTGGGTAACCGGCCGAGGGGTAAGCTTGGCTCGTCGTTTGCTGCACGCTCCTCGAGTGGTGGTAGGAGTGATAGGGGGATTGTAGGCCCCCGTTGTAACCGTTGTACTCGCCTGCCCCTGTATACTGTTGTTGTTGTTGTTGTTGTTGTTGTTGTTGTTGTTGTTGTTGTTGTTGTTGTTGCTGTTGATGGTGGCTCTGCTGTTGGTGGAATTGGTTGGGATGATGGTACACGGGGCCACCGGTCGTCCTCGAGGAATTGGCGCGGACGTGGTGGGGGGTCAGCCTGGCCGTGGTCGTGGACGAGGTTGCCTGTTGGTGGTGGTTCTGCCTCGAGTACAAGGACGGGTGAACGTCGCCTCCTTGGTACGAGGAGAGCCTCGACTGTTGGTACCCCTCCCTCGAGCAATAGCTGGCCTGTTGAGGAGGAGGGATCGTCGCTTGCCTGTGGTTCGAAGCGACACCGTTCCTGTAATCTATCGCTGCCGCCCCCGATTGATAGATGGCGCTCTGGTGGTGTTGCTGTTGCTGGAAGTGGTTGTTGTTGTTGTTGTTGTTGTTGTTGTTCCTAGTCCCCGGCCCCTGGTGGTGGGGGGACATGGTGCCCGCGTTGGTCGAGCCGTGCATCATGGGCGCCCCCGCGAGTAGGACGGGGGGCGGAGGGGGGGGAGCTGCGGCGATGGAGGAGGAGGAGGAGGAGGGGGAGCTCCTCGGCCGTTGCATGTAGGCGTGGGTGGCCTGGATGCCTAGGGGGCTGCCTTGCTGCAGTTGGACAGAGACGGGGGTGCCGGGGGTGGAGGAGGGGGTCAGGCTTCTGGCCGAGTTTTGGCCGGGCAGGAGGGGGGTGCTGACGGTCGAGTCGGGCATAGCGAGCAACACCCCGTTGCTGTTCACCGAGCACAGTTGCTCCTTGGACGAGGAGGAGGAGGAGGAGCAGGAGGAGGAGGAGGAGGAGGAGGAGGAGGAGGAGGAGGAGGAGGTGGAGGGTGACTTCTTGCTGACCGAGATGGAGTGCTGCCCCTGTTTGCCAGGCAGGGGGGGACTCTTGCGCCCGCTCTCCACCTTCACTCTGACCACGACGTCGTTGGACGTCGTGGCCAATTTCTTGGCGCCGCTCGTCGGCGAGGTGACCTCGCTCCCGTCCTGCGACCTCGAGTCGTCGTCCGCTATCATCTTCTCGAAGGAGCTGGACACGCTGTTTGTGCTTCCCACGCTGCTCGCCCCGTTGCTGTTGGCGTTGAAGGCTGGGTTGTTGTTGGTCGCTGTGGGCGTGTTGTTGTTGTTGTTGTTGTTGTTGACGAGTCGACGATTGGAGGACGAGGTGAGCTCGGTCACGTCGCCGGGCAGGGTGCTGCCAACAGGGTCGCCCACGCTCGAGATATCACAGTTGTGGCAACTCTTCTTCTCCTCGTTGTCGATCGCCAACAATTTCTCACCCTTGGACTTCTCCATCCCGTCGGACGCCGAACCGTCCTTCTCGTCCCCGTCCTCCTTGCTCAACGTTTGACGCTTGTGCTTCATCCTCCGGTTTTGAAACCACACTTTCACCTGGCAAAAATTATTATTCTATTGTTTTTATCATTATATAAATTAGAAATTGTTATTATTTATTGAAATTAAATTGTTAGGTTACGTTTTTGTGTTTTTTTTTTTTCGAGGATTAATTACGTAGGAGGATAGGAGGAGGAGGAGGAGGATTTCGTTGAAAACAAAGATGGAAGAAAGATGGATCGCGATGGATTGTTTTCGTTGGATGAATGAATAAAATCGGGGAGGGGGGTTTTTGGAGGATGGGAAGAGGAGTTATCTGTCCTCTTACCTGCCTTTCGGTGAGGTCGAGGGATGCCGCTATCTCGATTCTTCGGGGTCTGCACAGGTACTTGTTGAAGTGGAATTCTTTTTCTAGCTCGAGCAATTGCGTGTTCGTGTAGGCCGTACGTAATCTCCTTGGCAGTCCGTTTTCTGCAACGTAACCGCGAGTGTTTTTTTTTTTTTTTTTTCTTTCTTTTCTTGTTCCATTCTTCCAATGGAAAATGCGCCGCGAATGGAATCGGATCTTTGGAATCGTAGTTTTACTACTAGAGCTACTGAATATTCTTTCGTGTTATCGTACATCTTAGATTTTTCTTTTTTGTTATTCTTTGTACAGTAATGCGATACCACGTGCAAGTGACACGGTCTACTAATAAAAATTAGATCCAGAAACTGGCAATTAGTCATCTCAATCTCGATGCTAATGAGGGACGATTAGAAATTATAATCGCGCCGCTTGTTCCCGCGGAGATTAACATATAAATCTGTTTTTTTCTTCGCAAGAGAGCCTCTTTCTTACGAGTCTCGCGTTATTCGTTTAATTACGTAGGCTTGAAAATTGCCTACCTTCGATCTCGATCTTTTATTTTGTCTTCGGAAAAATCGGACGCACGATACTCAAAATCGAAAAATTTATTTTATTCTAAGATTCGATGTACAATAGATCGAAAAATAGAGAATTGTTCGAGAATTACCTTCGATCTCGATCTTTTATTTTGTGTTTGGAAAAATCGGACGCACGATACTCAAAATCGAAAAATTTATTTTATTCTAAGATTCGATGTACAATAGATCGAAAAATAGAGAATTGTTCGAGAATTACCTTCGATCTCGATCTTTTATTTTGTGTTCGGAATTCGGAAAAATCGGATACTCAAAATCGAAAAATTTATTTTATTCTATTCGAAGATTCGATGTACAATAGATCGAAAAATGAAAATAGAGAATTGTTCGAGAATTTTTCTAGAATGCAAATGATGCAATCATCATCTGCATTTTTCACGACGGTTCTCAATTTCTTCCAACGCAAAGCGAAAGGATAAAAGCTTCGAACGATCTCTTTGTTAAATCTCGTGTTATTCGTTAAATTATTTGAAATTGAATCTTGAAATATTTATTTTATTTTACGAAAATTCGATACGCAATTAAAAGTATTAAGATCAAAAAATGAAAATATTCATTCAAGAATTCTCGATTTTTCAGTTTTCTGTCAAACAACACCTTTTCACGACGGTTCTCAGCTCCTTCCAGCACAAAGCGAAAGAGTAAAATATTTAATTTTATGCAAATTTGATGTATAAGATATTAAAATCAAAAAGTGAAAATTTTCTTTGAAGAATTTTTAATTTTTCAGTTTCTTCGCTATCATTAAAAAACGATGGAATCACTGTCATCACCTGCACTTTTCAGTTTCTTCCAGCACAAAGGGTAAAAGATTATTTTATTTTATTTTATGAAAATTCGATATACAATTAAAAGTATTAAAATCAAAAAATGAAAATATTCAAGAATGTTCAATTTTTCAGTTTTCTACCAACAACTATCACCACTTTTCATGACGGTTCTCAGCTTTTTCCAAATTTAAAATCAAAAAATGAAAATTTTCTTTCAAGAATTCTTAATTTTTCAGTTTCTTCGTTACCAAAAAACGACGGAATCACTGTCATCGCCTGTCATCACTTTTTGGCTTTTTCCAGCACAAAGCGAAAGGGTAAAATATTATTTTATTCTATGCAAATTTAAAATCAAAAAATGAAAATTTTCTTTTAAGAATTTTTAATTTTTCAGTTTCTTCTCTATCAAACGAATCACTGTCATCACCTGCATTTTTCAGCTTCTTCCACAAAGCGAAAGAACAAAATACTATTTTATTCTATGCAAATTTGATATATAAGATATTAAAATCAAAAAATGAAAATTTTCTTTTAAGAATTTTTAATTTTTCAGTTTCCACGCTATCAAACAACGCAACAATTGTCATCAGCTGCACTTTTCACTACAGTTCTCAACTTCTTCCAGCGAAACAGTAAAATATTATTTTATTCTATGCAAATTTAAAATCAAAAAATGAAAATTTTCTTTCAAAAATTCTTAATTTTTCGATTTCCTACCAAACAACGCAACAATTGTCACCAGCTGCACTTTTCACTACGGTTCTCATCTTTTTCCAGCTCAAAGCGAAACAGTAAAACATTATTTTATTCTATGCAAATATTAAAATCAAAAAATGAAAATTTTCTTTCAAAAATTCTTAATTTTTCAGTTTCCTATTTGTTTCCTACCAAACAACGCAACAATTGTCACCATCTGCACTTTTCACTACGGTTTTCAACTTCTTCCAGCGAAACAGTAAAACATTATTTTATTCTATGCAAATATTAAAATCAAAAAATGAAAATTTTCTTTCAAAAATTCTTAATTTTTCAATTTCCTACCAACGTAACAATTGTCACCAGCTGCACTTTTCACGACGGTTCTCAGCTTCTTTTATCTCAAAGCGAAACAGTAAAATATTTTATTCTATGCAAATATTAAAATCAAAAAATGAAAATTTTCTTTCAAAAATTCTTAAAAATTCTTTCAAAAATTCTTCTCTTCTCTCTTTTTCAGTTTCCTACCAAACACCGCAACAATTGTCACCAGCTGCACTTTTCACGACGGTTCTCAGCTTCTTTTATCTCAAAGCGAAACAGTAAAACATTATTTCATTGCAAATATTAAAACCGAAAGATGGAAAAAATTTTCAATCCCCTCCCTCCTTCCCTCCCTTAAAAGAGCTTTTGCAATCGCTGTCACCAGCGATCACGCCTCCCTCTCCACTTTCCCAATTCCTCAACTTGTTCCACGCTTGGAAACAATAAATAAACCCGAAACGGGGCTAAAACCGTCGAACGATGCTCGTAAACACGGTCACCCTAAACACCAACGTTGAACGGGAGCAAGCATCGAGCAGGGAGAAAAGGCCGCTTTTTGCCCGATTACCCGAAACCGGCGCCCGCTTAATTAATGATCGTTGAGCCCTCGAGTCTGGGCGAAGGGTTGGGTCCTGGAAGTGGATGGCGCGGACAACGCCGATCAGCGACATCTCTCTCTCTCTCTCTCTCTCTCTTCAACCCCCTCCCGCCGAATTTCGACGCGAAACATCTCCCCGCGGATAATTATTGCCTCTAAGAGGTAAGAAACTCGTCGCAGGAGGTGGAAACGAGGTAAGAAGTGGAGTTTATTATTATTATTATTATTATTATTATTATTATTGTTATTGTTATTATTACAAGGGTTGAGGGAGACCAACGATGTGAACAATCATTAATATGGCTATCGCAGGATAATTACAGGATTTTACAAGAAGATGGCTGACAATGGAGGAGCAATATTTCAATCAAGAGAGAGAGAGAGAGAGAGAGTTTGTTGGTCAAAGGGGAATATCTTTTTGAAGAGGTTCGATTTTGGCGAGAGGGGAGGGGGGTGAGTTGATTGGAGACTGATTACCCCTTTTTTCCCCTCTTTTCGGTTTCTTTGACGATGACGAAACGAGCGGTGATGTAAAATACGAATAATAATAATAATAATAATAATAGGTGTTACGCGCTTTGAAAACACGAGTTGGCGAGAAGTGGCTCGCCTTGGACCAGCGTTTAGAGCGATTGTTGTCCACTGTCGAGTAATGTAATTGAATCGTTCCTTCTTAGAAACGATATTTTTTTTTTTTTTTTCCTCTTTTTTTATTTTTCTTCAGTTGAAGGAGACAGGATTCTTGATTCTTCGCGGATGGGGGGATCAAAAGAAACAGGATTTCGTTTATAATAATCGCGTGTATATTTATCGTAATAACGATGCGTTTCCTTGGTAATCGAAAGGAATGATGTTTATTATTCGTAATTATTAATTGTTGTAAATTTTACACAAAGAGCGTGAGGAGAGATTGTACATTCTTTTCAGAACTGTGGATATATTTTTAAAAAATTCGTAAAGAATTTTTATCATTCCTTCTTAATAATAATGAACATATACCACCATTTTATCGGTATAAAAGTGTTGACTGCTTGAAAACAATAAATAATAATATACAAAAACATTTGAAGTATCGAAGAAAAATAAATAGATAGCATAGTATAAAATTTCAGTGAACTTTAAATTCTATAACAAAAAGAAATCTCGTTTCAATATTCCTTATATTTACCAGAAAATCGCAAACAATTGTTACGTTCCTCTTTCTCCTCGAGAGCGTATATATATATATATATATATATATATATATAGAAGAGAAAGAAGGGGAAAAAGAGAGAAGAGAGAAAGAAAAAAAAAAAAGAAAAGATGAAGCAGCATAGGACGTGACGGTAAGAGGGTGTACGATTTTCGGAGGGCTGAGATGCTAAACTACCCCATGGCGTGCGAGTGGACTAGGGGTGGTTCCGCGATGAGTCGTCAGGGGTCGAAGGAGAGAGAGAGAGAGAGAGAGAGAGAGAGAGGATAAGGAAAAAAGAAAAAAAGAAAAAAAGAAAAAGAAGGAACGGGGGAGGATGAGGGTGAAGGATGGAGAAGAGGTGCGGGGAGGTGCTGCAGCTGTATAAGTCTGCACGTGGAGTTTTCATAGAGTAACCAGGAGGGGAGGGGGAGGGAGGCGTTGGAAGCGTCGCGTGAGTGACACGGCCCTTATCGATATTTCCATCTCCCAGGATTTCCCCTGGAGAATAATCTTTAGCCGTCGATACTTTTGCAAGATCGGTTCAGAAGAGGTGCGCAAAACGTGCACGATTTATCTTTCTATCGAGTTTACAAGAAGAAGCAAGATGCATATATGTGTGGATCGTTGGTTGCGTGGATCGAGATGAAATTAAAATACGGAATAAAAACGAGTATATTAATTCCATCCTTCGAATAAATACATAATTACTCGAATAAATTTTACGGATATTAATTCTTGGTATTCGTAGCCGATGTAAGCATCTATCGATAAATCACGGAGAGCGATCGTTGTTCTCTCGTAAAGCGCGTGTTTTTCTAGTCGTCGTTGAGATTGATTTCGTTGAATTTTGGAAAAGATAATAAGATAATAATTATTTGGAGTTTTGATACGAGTACAACTTGTGCGATTGAAATTTTGAAGATAAATCATAACGCATTCGCGTATCCACGCTTCAATTATCCCG